GATGTTTAAACTGAGATCTGGATGACAAGGAGCAGTCGACTATGCCAAGATCAGGAGACAGGACATTGCAGGCCCAGGGCGGGGGGAGGAGACTGGACCAGGAAGCAAGGGTGGAGGCTTTGCCAGCAAGGATAAGGGTTCTGTTTGCTTTCTCTTGATTGACGACCTGGCTTCCAAAGAGGGTATTTATGTTCCAGGTTGTCATACACATGCTTTCTCTAATCCTTCAATCACAAAGCAAACCCAAGTTCCAACTACTTTTAATTTGGCCGTTGCTTCATGACTCCTTATGCCCTTGATATGGCGAATTCACCTGCCCTCCTCCTGCACTTTCTCCTCTGTGGGCCTCTCTTTCAATCCTGGATGGGGGTACCCACCCTCCCTGTATATGTTTCTCTGGGTCATTTCAACTCTCCCAGGTTAATCCCTGTTGGGATCACTCCCAAATTTGTTCCAGTCCTGCTTTTCCTGAATTCCAAACCAGAGATCCAGATTTTAGCACCAAGGTCAAGGGTTCGTATCCTCATACCCAACAGCCACCAAAAAGAAAAAAATGATATCCAAATCAAGAGTCTGGAGCCCTGCTGCAAGTTTTAAAATTCAGCTGTCTTTAAAGTAGACCAGTGGAGGGCTGGCCCATGGCTCACCTGGCTGAGCGTGGTGCTGACAACACCAAGTCAGGGGTTAAGATCCCCTTACCGGTCATCTTTTAAATAAATAAATAAATAAATAAATAAGTAGACCGGGGGGTGGTGGTGGTGGGGTCATGGAGGGGAGGATTGACTCTGCAAAGAGTTAAGAGAATTCGGAAGTGATGGAAATATTCTCCATCCTGACTGAGAGTAACACAGGTGCAGGGCTGTCTGCATCATTTGCATGGCTCAGTACAAAATGAAAATAGGGGGAAGAAGGAAAAAATACCACTAAAGATAACTAAATAATAAAACTTTCACTTTTTCTGCAGTCTCTATCAACCTGTCATGCTGTTTTATTTTCTATTTAATGTGGGGTTTCCTCGGGTACAGGATTATTCCCCTTCCCATGGCAGTTGGGAGACTTCCCAAGGGATTGCAACCTCTTTGCCAGGATGTGCTTGGTACCAGGATCATGATGGGCAAAACCCTGGAACGTCTCACTCTAAATGTGCTGGGGTGCTGCCATACCCCGCCCTGAGATGTGGTGGGGGTGGGAGAGGAAGAGAGTGGAGGTTGGGGGCAGTTGAAGATATTCTGGAGGAGCTAAGCTCTTGGCCCTTTTCTCCTCCATGCTCCATTGTCCCATGGGATTTCATTTACAAAATACAAATTCAAGGATAAAATTACTTAGAAATTTCCATACCATGAACTCAGAACATTAAGCCCCAAGCATGAGGCTGTTCTGAGAGTAGACCACTGGGGTCACACATGCCCATGAAGCTGGCCCTGCACAAGTATATACATTTGTCAAAATCCATTGTACTATACATTTTAAATGAGTGCAGTTTATTCTACATAAATTATACCTCGATAAGGTTGATTTTAAAACTTCAGCTCTTAAGGGCCGGCCTGTGGCTCACTCGGTAGAGTGCGGTGCTGATAACACCAAGGCCTCGGGTTCGGATCCCATATAGGGATGGCCGGTTCACTCACTGGGTGAGCGTGGTGCTGACAACACCAAGTCAAGGGTTAAGATCCCCTTACCGGTCATCTTTAAATAAATAAATAAATAAATAAATAAAAATAAAACTTCAGCTCTTAAGAACCTCAAACTACCATATCTAAAATCAAACACTTCTCATAACCAGTGTGCATTTCTTTTTGTCTTGGATGAAGGCATCAGCAGCCATCTAACACCCAAGCTGTGAACTGGTCTTCTTTGATCCCTCCTTATCTCCTTGCATCTAGTGGTCTCTCACCTGTACCTACTTGAGCTGCCTCCTGACTTTCTGAGGTCTGTGGGTGGTGCCACCTGCTGCCAGTCACCCAGCCTCAAACCCCTCAGTGTGTTTTTCACTCCTTGCCAAGCTGTCCCAGTGGGGGACTGCCTTTTCCCCTCTCCCTCCCCCTCTTCCCCAGAACACCACCCTGTTGAGGCCTGTCCTGTCTCTGGTCTGGGCTGCTGCAGAGGTGGTCTGACAGCCCTGCTGCCTCTTAGGCTTCTGTGCTCCATCCTGGTATTCTTTCTAAAGCACAGATTTAATCATGTCTCTCCCATTTCTGAAAACGGTCAATGACTATTTCCTACAAAGAGCTCCTTGGTATGGTATCAGTGGTCTTTCTAAATCGTGCCTCATTCTGCTTTTCTAGCTTTATTTACTCTCGCTGGCCCCGCATACTTTATTTTTGCTACACTCCTCTGTCTCTGGGATATGCTGTGCTCTCATGCCCCCCAGCCTCTAAATAGGTGGTCCCCTTTACCTGGAATGCTTCCTCCTCCTTGCCTAGCCAAAGCGTATTTAGCCTTCAAGTCCCAGCCCAAACTATTCAATCTCTGTGAGCTCTTTAATCACTGGCAACGCTTTGTGCCCATGAAACTCAGCCTAAATAGGTGGTCCCCTTTACCTGGAATGCTTCCTCCTCCTTGCCTAGCCAAAGCGTATTTAGCCTTCAAGTCCCAGCCCAATCTATTCAATCTCTGTGAGCTCTTTAATCACTGGCAACGCTTTGTGCCCATGAAACTCAGCCTAGGCCTCTGGCATTGCACTTACCTGTACTATAGTAAGATATATATTTCCTTGTCTCCTCCACAGGGAGCAGCCCCTTTTAGGCTCATAGTTGTATGCCCCAGCAGTAATGATAGATGTTAATGGAATAATTTTCTTGATTCCATGGACAGTATTAGCCCCTTCATTCGGCCAAGCCCCCAAGACGTCTTCATTCTCCTTGACTCAAGTTAATGTTGCTCCCTCCCTTCCATCTTTAAGTCTCCCACTTGCTCCTGAGATGTGCACCCGGACCTCCCCTGGCCATCGCATCCAGGTGGGGGCTGATCTCCAAGTCCAGTCCTCAGCCCTATGTCCTCCTCCCTTAGTATCCCCTCACATGATGGCTCATCTTGTAACGTCAGTGGCTGCCTCTCCCGGGATGACATAGTCTCTGTGGGGAAGAATGGCCTCCATCTGAGCCCAGGTCCTCAGCCCCCATCATTCCCTTCACTTAAAGCATCTCCCTCTTGCTCTGCCTCTCCTGGTCGTCACTGTCAGTGGCACCACTGACCTTCCGGGCTCGTGCCCTTCATCTTTTCTGACTGGTCTCTATCCATCTTGAAGGATGCATCCATCACCCAGGGCTGAGTGTCCTTTGGAATTCTCTTGTATCAATCCTTCCCTTGAAATCCTTATCATTTTAGGCCAGACTTTTGTCCTTTCAGCACTGCGAATAGTAGTGAACGTGGAAGCTGCGCTGATGTCAGGCAGCTTGCTGAGCGCTGTGCACATACCATGGCATGATCATTTTACCACGACAGTGTGGTAATTCCTGTTATGATCTCCAATTTGCACATGAGGTCAGAGAGTGAGTAACTTGCCCAACTTCACACAGGAAGAGTCAAATCTTCTGTCCAGTCTGTGCTGTTAATCACTACAATTATTTAGGAAGGTGCCCTGGACCCGAGGCCAGAAGATGTGGGTCCAACTCTTGGCCTCATTGCTTATTAGTTGTGCAATTTGGGGCAATTCTCTGAGCTTCACTCTTTTCTCTTGGGATGCCATAAAGGAGATATGATAGAATGGATGTGAAATTGCTCTGTGAATTTAAACTGTCTCCAGTAAGCCTTGCTTTAAAAGATAAAAAGCACAAGAAAGCATGCTTTGCCAGTAGGACACAAAATGAATGGTCTAGTGACAATTGGAACAACTTCAATGGCAGGACTATTTTCCATTGACCAAATGGATCTTCAGCCTTTGCACTGGAGAAAGCCTTAGCATCCACCTACAAGGAGGTGAGGAGGGCTGCTGAGGTGTGTGGCTGAAAGGCAGACTTTGTTATAAAACACAGCACAGGTTACTGCTGGAATCAAAAGATAACATCATTGACCATATATGCATTTTTCTTAAATGCCAATCCACTTAAGAATCACTTGGGGTTTACGACTTAAGATAGATCTTTTATTTCACAAGAACTGAACAAATCTTCTTGTGTAAACTGGAAGAAGCTGTTAAATGTAGATAACTACTCAACCTCACATTGGAATGCACTAGTAATTTTATCTATTTACGAATATGCATCCTTATGTCTTCTTTATAAATAGTAATGCTAACTGTGCTGTTCTTAAAAAAAAATTACCAGAATTGAAGCATGCATTCATAGAATATCCAAACTTAGAATATTCTATCACTGTCTTTCTTAGAAGTTAGACTTAAAAACTCCTATTTCCTCCTTTCTACTCTGGTGGTGTCTGCCACATGGCTGGCACGGCATTCACTTCACATACGAGGGTATTTCAAACAGGTCATGGAAAAACTCATATTTCAATTCTACTTTTCCACGAACTTTTGAAGTACCCTAACATTTGAAGTACTCTCTCCACCCCCTATTATAGCCCTAATATTGAAGAAGTTGCAGAAAAAGCAAAACGTTCTTTGTAGGTAACTTCCTTGGTCAGCCGCTAGAGTCCCGGCACTGAGAACCTTGGACTGCAGTAAGACCAGCTGAGGCAGATTTAGGAGAGAAATTCTCTACAGCAGGGGTCAGCAAACTCCGTAAAGGTCCAGATAGTAAATATTTTAGACTTTGTGGGCCTTACGTCCTGTTTTGCAGCTACTACACTCTGCTGATGTACATGAAAGCAGTTACAGACAGCATGTAAACAAATGAGTGTGGCTGTGTTCTAGTAAAACTATTATGGAAAGTGGAATTTGAATTTCATGGAATTTTCATGTGTTAGAAAATATTTTTCTTCTTTGGATTTTTTCCAGCAACGATTTAAAAATGTAAAAACCATTCTGAGCTCATGGGCTGTATAGAAACTGACAGTAGTTCAGAGTTGGCCCCTGGGCTGTAATTTGCCAATCCCTGATCTAAAGAATTGAAATGCTATTTATTACTCTCGCTGAGGGATTCTTTGAGAGGGAAAGGAATAAGGTGGGAAATAATAATCGTCACAATTATTGAGCGCTCATGTTTAGCAAGCATTGTTCTAAGCGCTATATACATATTGACTCATTTAATCTTCACAACCATAGAAGGCAAATAGTATGTATTATCCCCATTTCACAGATGGGGAATCTGAGGCACAGAGAGATTAAATAATTAGTCACATAGCACACAGCTAATCAAGGCAGAGCATGATATAACAGTTAACCAAGTGGGGCCTTGCACCATCTCTCTGAGTAACTATGCTATCTATACTGCCTTTCTGGGTAAAATGAGGTCTTGTGGCAAAGACATCTTTTCACAGGCATCCACATGGAGAATCTTTGTCCTGCCAGCTCCATTAAGCATTTGATCAAAAGTTCAGATGTTCAAAGCAATGTTTCCATCTGGAGGCAAGGAGACAGATGGCACTGTCTTATTTAGTAAGGAAGTCACTGTCACCAAAGGTGTTTGAGCAGAGGTGGGATGTCTTTTGTACTCTTGCATTTCCTTAGAAAGACTTTTGTTATTTTTTATAAAATAAAAGTAGAAATTTAAAATCCTTGCTCTTTGAAATGTAAATCTGGCTAATTACTAAAGGAGCCAACAGCCTGAACACCTCCCCATAGCACACTCAGGCACAATCTCATTACAGTTATAGGATTTGGGAGTCTGATAACCAGAACTGCTGGGAGGAAATTATATTTCAGATTGCTTTGACCTGTTGCTGTGGGAACTGACTGAATCTCTCTTCACCTCATCCCTGCCTTAACATACGGTGCATACACACCACACCTTTCCCATCTTCTTTGCTGAAAAATATTTGAAGGCAATGTTAGAGAAGAATTATTTGGTTTAATTATTAAATAATTATAATCATACTTTATAATCATATTTTATATTATTAAATGATTGTAATAATAATTTATATCCATAGAAGAGAATATTAATATGGAAAGGTCTCCAAGATAAATGATAAAAGCAAGTATAGAACAGTGTATTTTTTTCCCACTTGGTGTAAAAATAATGTTGGTAGGGAGGAGATGAGTGAGTATTATGGGAATTTTCTGAAAGGATAAAAATATTAATAGTGATTACATCTGGGGAACAAAATAGGGATTTGGGTGGGAGGAGATTATATTTATAGTTGTTGTACTCTTCCATTCCCCGAATTTTTTACATGTATCTTTTTTTTTTTTTCTTCCCCAGCACTTGATTTAGGCCTTTGATTCCTTCAGAGAGCAAAGGAACATTTATAGTTGTTGTACTCTTCCATTCCCCGAATTTTTTACATGTATCTTTTTTTTTTTTCTTCCCCAGCACTTGATTTAGGCCTTTGATTCCTTCAGAGAGCAAAGGAATATAGAGATAAAACTCCCGCCCACTTGAGGTATGGGTTATGAGCTCTCACTCAACCACATTACCATTCAGAAGGCTTTTCCTGTCTGTCTTAAACCAAAGGCTTCATTGTTCCGGTCTGTCATGTCACTGCAGCAACAGCTGTCTTCTCAATCGTGCAGTATAATTTGTCATAATTTAAACGAGCACATAGAATTTAATCAGCAGCTAAGCAGAGAAGCAATGCTAACAAATGCTATGAATGGGTATATGATTTGCATATTATTTAGCTCCTCTGTAGACTGGCACAATCCATCCATTCCCCTCATTACTCTGAATAATCTAGAAATGGTTGAATGCTCCTGGCCAGACAGCTATATGGGTTTTTTTGTTTGTTTTTTTCTCTTTTTTAAAAAAATTATTTTTTATTGTAACATAGTTGATTGTAAATATCTGTGGGGTACAGAATTAAATATCAATACTTTTGTGCAATATGTGATGCTCAAATCAGGATAATTAGTATATTCAACATTATATAATGTAATCATTTTTCATGTCCCTTTACCAATTTCTCCCTTACCCTGACCACCTTCTCATCTCTGGTAACCTTAGTTCTGTTCTCTCCTTTTGAAAGTTCAGTGTATTATTGTGATTGCTGTATCTTTCTTGCTTTCTTTTTTTTTGTTGTTTATTATGTAGCTCCCACTTATGAGTGAGGACATGCAGTATTTTTCCTTCTGTGCCTGGCTTATTTCACTTAACATGATTTTCTCTAAGATCATCTGTGTTGCTGCAAATGGGAGTATTTCATTCTTTTTTATGGCACAGTATTATTCCATTGTGTATATATACCACATTTTCCTCATCCAGTCACCTGATGATGAACATTTAGGTTGGTTCCAACTCTTGGCTATTGTAAATGGAGCTGTAATAAACATGGGGGAGCAGGTATCCCTTTGACATGATGATTTCCATTGCTTTGGGTATATGCCCAGCAGTGGGATTGCTGGATCATATGGCAGTTCTATCTGTAGTTGTTTGATTAACCTCCATTCTGTTTTCCATAATGGCTGCACCAGAATTTACAGCTATATGTTTTAAAAATCAAAAGCAACAATAAAAACAGCCTCAGTTTCTGGGAACTCTAGAATTAAGGCTATTTTAAGCATTTATTCTTATTTCCTTGGCTTTGGGGTTGGGACAAGGATGCCCCAAAGCCTGCTATTTCCTTACTTTTAGTCTTGATTCTGTAGCCCCCCCTCAACTACAAGAAGAAAAGGACAAAGAGAGGTAGGCCATTTCTTGGGGAACAAAAGCAGAAGAATCCCTCAATATAATAGCAAAGCAAGAGGAAATCGAAAGGGAAATATATTGTTAGATAGGGAGAGAAGGTTGTGTCAATATGCTAATGCCAGAGCCTGTCACTTTCTGAGGTGATAGTTTTCCATGGAAATACATTTTTTTAAAATAACATACAACTAAAAGTTTGAGGGTGGAAAAAAGGAAGAGCATTAATACTTTGAGGACTCTTGGTGGCAAATCCAGGAATCAAGAAAGCAGAAAACTTATGACTATAACTGCTATGAATATTTAAAATTGATATTGTGGCCAATGGCTCCCCTCCAAGAATTTCCCACTGAAAATAATGGCATGGAAGGGAAACTCGGGATAACTGAGAAGTGGGGGTGAGGTGTGAATCCTCTTTGGTAACAGGAATGCTTTGGGAGGCCACAAAAGTTGGCAGGGTTGGAGGGTGCCGAGCACCTTGGCACAGGCAAGCATCAGTCAATCACTCACATCTACATAAATATATAGTCTAAGTCTGAGGGATGGAAAGAGATAACACATACATACCATGCTCGCTGGTTG